GCCTAGTCCTTCTTTACCGTGAGGACATCTAGTCAACCTGTTCTAAACACTTTGTGCAGGAGTTGCACAGGTTGAGTCTCTCTTCTCTGGAATTTTGAAATACTCTGAAATTACCCTCATCGATGGCTGAACTGGTGACCCCTTTGCTTTCTGGTGGTTCAGTGTACACAAGCTTTGCTTCATGCACGAAGTTATTTAAAATGTTATTATAAAATTATCTTCAAGCTATATGTATAAGGTGTATATGAAACATAAATGAATTTCATATTTAGACTTGAGTCCCATATGCAAATATTCCAAGATCCAAAACACTTCTGGTCCCAAGCATTTTAGATAAGGGAGGCCTGCCCTAAATTCACTTATTAGTCCCAACTGGAATATGAGTCAGTGCTTCCACACAACCCCTCTAAAACAGTGGAGGCTTAAGACTCCAACACTTGCATAAGCTCCAGAGTATTAGTGAGTCAGTTCAAATTGGGACTATTAATTAGATTTTGGTCCATACCTATGTACATTAATATACTTACGGAAATAATAACTTTCCCTATAATAGGGATGTTGTGATACCTCCAAAATATAGTTGATTTTTTTGTTTGTCTTGATATCATAACTAGTATTTGTCAAGAAGGATACCTAATTGAATACCTGTGTGTTCACATGGGGTATTCGTGGGTGCTGAACAACAGATTGAATGTGAGAACTATGGTAAAAACTAGAAGTTATTTTTTTTTTGTAGCTGAACAATTAGTAATACGTAATCTGAGCAATATAATGTTTAAATAACAATGAATATTCTTGTAAAAATGCAAACAAAGCATTGTTTGTACCTTTCATGTAACCGGGTAGGCAAACTGTCCCCTTTAAAGGCCGAGGGACTTCAGCTCCCAAAAGCCTGAGCCAGGGGTAGGCAACCTTTTTGAGCCAGGGGCCGGGTTGCTGTCCCTCAGACAATTGACGGGCCGAAGCACCAAAAATAAATAAATGAATAAATAAATTAAAATTAAAAAAGAATTTAAAAATTTTTAAAAAATGCATGCACACTCTCTCAGCCCCAGAAAAGCCATGGCAAAACCCCTGTGAAGATTTTGCCAAGAAAACCCTAAGAACAAGTAATAACAACAATAATCAATATCATCATGGGGGGGGCGGGGGCGACAGGACCGGTTTGGGGCCGGTCCAAAGGCCTTGCTGGGCCATATCCGGCCCCCCGGGCCTTAGGTTGCCTACCCCTGGCCTAAGCCATGTTGGCCAATAGTCCCACGTTGGCCAATAGCTCCTGGGATTCTGGGAGCTGAAGTCACTCGGCCCTTAAAGGGGACAGTTTGCCTACTCCTGAAGATATGCGTGCATGCATATACTGTGCAGAAATTTTATTTTTTTCTTTCTACAAATGCAGTTTGAAAAGGGAGGAATATCTATGGAGTGTTTGCATGTTTCCTTTCCCCAGCTTAAACAGTCTTATAACTTCTTTCATCTTCATTTGAGGTGTATGTAGTGCTTGATACAGAGGCCTTCTGACTGAGCAGTTGGCTTGGCTTTGTGGATTAATATTCCATCCCAAACACATTTGCTGAAAAGTATGCACGTTTATTTCAGTTATATTGAAAGTAAGTGTTTTTAAAATTGCAATCTTCCTAAGGAGGATGTACATCTTTCAAGTTTTCGCACTGTATACCCTTGAGGCATGTGTATTTTGTTGTGTGTTCATATATTTGCAGTAACATATAAACTTGATATATTTATGATTAATCATCTAATAGTTGAGATTGGATAGTTTCTAGTAATAAAGGGCCTTTGTAGATTGCCAGAAATAGTGCACATTAAATTGAGGCACTTCCCTGGCTCAGTGCTAGGGAATCATGGGAATTGTAATTTATTGTGGCACCAGAGCTCTCTGACAGAGAAGGCTCAATGTCTCAGAAAAAAATACAATTCCCATGACTCCCTAGCACTGAGCCAGGGCAGTGCCTCAATTTAATGTGCACTATTACTGGCAGTCTGCAAAGGCACTAAGTGAAGACTAGGTGTAAGCATCTCAGCTGTACTAGAGAATAGAGACCAGGAGTAATCCTTATTAATAGGAGTATAGGACTATACCAATATAGGACTAAATCAGAAAATTAAGTAGGAATTCAATTCATGCAATTCAAATGTTATGGCTACTAGCTTTATTGATTGATCTTTAAAAAGTGCTCTTTTAAAGCAAGCTGTTCTGGTTGAACTTAACCATAGGTTAATTGAAGGATTTACTTCTGAGTGGCAAATAACGTGATTAAAAAGTAGGGACTGACACTGAATACTGGTCTAACAATGAACATCTCCCACTAAACTCTTAAAGTTAAAATGTTTAAATTCAAGCGGTCATTGTTCTAAGAGGCTTGGAAAATAGTAATAATAATAATAATAATATCGTCTAAAAATGAATAAAAAAACCCCAGGAGTGGTTTCTTTTTAGCCAACTCTGCCCAAAATAAAGTGAGAGGGGGCAGTTGCCTACAATGTGCGCAGGGGTATTTATTCTGCCTCACAGAGTTTTAGTTGTTTTTGTACCTGAGGCTTTTGTAGGTTCTAAAACAGGATAGGAAGCCAGATTTGGATGAATTGTGGCTTTCTGAATGTTGCTGGACTACCATTCCCCTCATCCCTTACCATGAGCTGTACTGTGTTGGGCATGTGTGAGTTGCACTCCAGTGACATCTGGTGGGTATGTATCACCCACTCCTACACTATAGAGCAGGGGTAGGCAACCTAAGGCCCGGGGGCCGGATGCGCCCCCCCCAAGGCCTTTGGACAGGCCCCAGGCCGGTCCTGCCGCCACCGCCGCCGCCCGCCATGATGATATTGATTATTGTTATTACTTGTTCTTGGGGTTTTCTTGGCAAAATCTCCACAGGGGTTTTGCCATGGATTTTCTGGGGCTGAGAAAGAGTGCATGTATACTTTTTAAATATATATATATTTAATTTTAAATGCTTATTTTATTTATTTATTTATTTTTGGTGCTTCGGCCCCCCAATTGTCTGAGGGACAGCAGCCCGGCCCCCGGCTCAAAAAGGTTGCCTACCCCTGCTGTAGAGATTTGAGGAAGGGTAATAATATTTGTCCCAGCCAGTGTGGCTTAGTGGTTTGAGTGTTGGCCTATGACTGGTCACCAGGGTTCGATTCTCTGCTCGGCCATGAAACCCACTGAGTGACCTTGGTCAAGTCACATGCTCTCAGCTTCTGGGGAATGCAATGGCAAAGCCTCTCTGAATAAATCTTGCCAAGAAAACCCCATAAAGCTTTAGGGTTGCCATAAACTTCAAGAGACACAAAAACAAACATGTGTCCAGTGGTGAATTTGGGGCAGAAGAGTGCTGGGTGAATGTGTGAATGAAGATGGATGATAGTACCATAGACAAAGGTGATAACCAGGGCTTGAGTGCATTTTTTTGGTGAGGAGTCAGAAAAGGTAACACTGTTTTTGTAAACGAAGAAAGAGCATTGTTATAGGCTGGTTGGTAGATTTTGCCAACTTCATGCCTTGGAGCTTGTCATTAGTAGTAACAATGTGATAAAGTTGGAAATAATTGCACATTGTTAATGGAGTGTGACTTATAGGACTAAATGCATTACTCCAGGCCTGCACAACATACGGCCTGGGGGCCACATGTGGACCGCAAAAGGATTTTGGACAGCCCCTAAGGATGTGGAACAACTTCAAGGTTCCTCTGTTGCTCCGCTTCTTGAGGAGAGGGCATGAAGAAAAGGAGGAGGAAGAGTGAATGTTCCTCTGCCTCCTGGCTTTCTCCTGAGGAGAAGGAGAGGCGGAAGAGGAGGACAGGTGAACACTTGTCCTGCAAGGCTCTTCCACTACTCTGCCTTGTCCTGAGGAGAAGGCCAGATGGAGGAGGAGGAGAAGGATGGGCGAACATCCACCTTGCAAGTCTCCTCTGCTACTTGGATTTCCCCTGAGGGGAAGTCAAGGTGGAAGAGGAGGACAGACAAGGCTGTTCTGCTCTCTCCTGAGAAGGCTGAGCAGAGGAGGATAGAATTAATAGTAATTAATTATAATTACTATTAATTAATATTATTAATTAATTAATATGTAATTAAAACCTA